ACCTGCAAAAATGTGAAACTGGGAATAAGAGACAAAATTCCTGAATGTGTGTTGCGTGAATGGGGGGGGGGGGGGGGAGNAAAGAGGGTACATTTCGGGATTTGATCCAGCATCACACACATTATGAGCTGCGGATAACAGACATATATTTGGAACAGCGTCATAATTAAGAAGTAAGACGCACCCCCAAGTTGCTGGTTGATGAAACTGTTACGCTCTTTGCTTTGAGTTTAGTCTGCCAATAAAGGGGCGTGACACGCACCGCAATTATTCTTACTAGACATCACAGGAAGAAAAGGAGGAGGGGGTAGAGAAGTTGTGACTTTCTGTCTGAGGAGCCTGAACCTTCATACGGAGAAACGTGCTCCTCAGGAAGAAATAAAATCAGAAATTAAATGAAGTGGCGTACGTCTATATATACATGTATATGTATATTATGACGAGAAGCAATGCATAACCTACGTAGTATTAACGTCTGCGGGGTGTAGCACATCACATGGCTCTTGTTTTTAAAAGGTTTTTATGACTTAGAAGTCATCGAAACACATGGCCAGTGAACATACTAGTACCCTTTCTAATAATATCAACGGCGCGGCATGAATGCGACATCTGCAACTTACAGTATATGGTCGTAACTCCAATTACGTCATTTTATATTCTCTAATTCTATACGATCATTCCTACACGATACCGATATAAGTATTTATGTCTACAGGTTATCAGGGAACTTCCTACTTTTATTAAAATCCGTGTTTTATCATCGTCTTCAAGACGGCTTCAACAGCCGACTCCAGCTGCAGTCAGTTCACTTTAGTTCATGGAGGAGCGGTGGTTCTGACTTCTGTCTTTTGGAATATAATGTCGTGTAGCCAATGAAAATTCAACCGACGTTTCCGAGGAACATTTCGCCTCCATCTTAAGGGCCGAAGAACAATCCAAGCAAGGCATCGACATGAGGCAGGTAGCAAGCATATTTCTTGCTTGCTTTCTTCATTGTTTCACACTTCGCACACTTTAATGAAGATAAATACCAATACTATCCTCCCATCTGGGTCTGCTTTTCCCAAGTGAGCTCCTTTCTAAAAATTTACGAATTTCCTCCATGCGTCCTGGGCATCCTTCCCACTTCAATCTTAACTAATTCCATGGAGCTGTGTCCTTCTTAAGAAGCCATCAGTTGCGCACCTACTCAAATATTTACCAACATTTTATGGACCCCGAAATGTCATTGCCGTGTACACAAGAGCCATCCACTGGTCCCTATCCTGAGCTAGATCAATCCAGTCCATACCATCCCATCTATGTACAGTTCTTCCTAGTGGTCTCTTCTCTTCTGGCTTTCCTATCAAAATCCTATATGCATTCTTCTTCTTCTCCCCGCCTCTTCTTCCTCGCCATGTGTGCTACATGAGCTGCCCATCCCACCCTCCTTGATTTGATCATTCTAATTATACTTCGTGAATAGTACAACTCAATTTGAAGGCTAGTAATTCAAATGACTTAATAGTTTTAGGTGAAAAGTACAAATTACATAGCACTTAGTCAGGTAACTTTATCCAGTCCTTTATAACTTTAGCTCATTTAGGACCAAATACCTATCTTGGTACTCCTTCATCTCCAGAAGACCTCAACCTACGTATGAGAGACGGCGTTCCACGCCCATAAAAAGAAAACAGGTGAAATTACATTGTCACGTGCTACAGTACCTAGATTTACAGGACACTAGGAAAATAAATGACCCCGAAATGAATAGCTAAGAACATTCCCGTAATCTGATCAATTTCATCACGTTCAAGTTGTTAGTACCATTACCAAGTGCTTGAACAGTGCCATCTGCACGATAAACCTTTTCTGTTAATCATTATGACATCCTTAAAATGATATTCCGTGGTGAAACGTAGTAAATCCTATAAATCCGTGACTTTAAAACGTCAAACTAAATTATAAATTCCATATGAAATCGAAGTATACGAGGCGAAAGCCACTTGGCTATTTCAAAACTGCGTGGTCTCAGTATAGGAGTGTGCTAGCTTCTCTTTCTGGCTGGTTATTTAACGACGCTCTCGGTGCCTAGACTATGTAGCGTCGGATAAGAGGACTGATAGAGGATGGTCTGGAAAGGGTTTGGAAGGAAGAGGTTGTGGCCTACTTGAGGTATTATTCCTCCATTCGCCTAAAAGGGACTTAGGGAAACCAGGCAAAAACTCAGGGCAGCTGGCGTCCCGGCAGAGATTCGAACCCAGCACCTCCAAAACATAAATCTAGAGCATTACCGCTTGATCAGCCTGCTCGGTATGGAGGCGTCGTCAGAGAGATTATACGACACAGTGAGAATTGCAGAACGGAGATTGATGTGACATAACTAGAAATTAATGTTTTACATTTTTGCAAAAAATTTGTGCCCTGCTAGAGTGACGTAGTATGCACCGGCTAGAGGGTTACATACCTTTGGCAGTCTGGATAAAGAAGCAGCTGAGGAAGGTAATTGGGACGAAGCCTAGAATCGTCTTCTCTAGGGATGTGTCACTGGACACACACGCGTAACACACGGGTTTCTCCTCGCGGTTTACTTCACTCAGCGTCACTCTCTTGAGGAAGGCGCGGTAGAGGCCACTAAACTCGTTCCACGAGGCTTCTGGTTGCCTTCCCGTCTCATCCCAACCGAACATCATGGACTGACCGGCACTGCCTGCGTACCTCACAACCTCATCTTGCCAACTGATTGCGCACGGCGCCACCCCCAATGAGTGAAGGAAGTGTCGGAGCAGCTGCGGGATTTATGTGGCCCAACTTCTTGCGACTTCCTTCCTGTACGGAATTTCTGTGAGTCATGCGTCCCCCACGCCTCAAATTATACACACACTATTTTCTTCCGTCTTTAATAAACGTACTTTATGTCACATTCGTTTTACGCCGTATCAAAAATTTTAATTTCTTTGCATCTGCCAGACGAGAAACTTGAGGCGCCCTTTAACCATTCATTTTCAGGAACGGTGAACATCTGCTGGAGCCGGGATAGTGCAGTCGGTATAGCGACTCGAGAGTGGAGGGGCGGAGTTCGAGTCCCGGTAAAGGAAAGATTTTTCATCTCTCCACTTCGTTCAGGCCGCTTTTGGGGCCTATCCAGCCTTCTATCCAATGGTTCCCGGAGGCTGTTTCCCAGGTGGTAAAGCGGCGGGGGCGTGAAGCTGACCAGTAGCTCATTTGCAACAAGTCAAGAATACGTCAATCTACAGATCCACTCCCCCAGACGTCTCCATGGGGTAGTACCTGATCAGTTAAGCACAGTGACAGCTTCATCTATGTACATCCGATAGGCTTATTATATAAAACTGGGCCTTAATAAGAATGCACTTCCACAAAACAGCTCACATTGTATTACGCCAAAATACATTGAGGATAAAATGCCAAACCAAGAAAACGCACAGGAAAAAACTCTGTACTCATTCTCAGCCTCGGTATCAGATGAAAGTGAGCGGTCTGGAGCTTCATCCCGGTAAGAAACATATAGAAGTGCACTGCATAGGGGGCCAGATGGAACCCAGACCCCGACAGACGTTATGGTGAACCAAATAATTCTGGGACTGAAGGAAATCTGGGAAAACGTCCTGAGATTTTTCGAGGAACCCCTCACTTTGTTGCTGTTTGTTTTCGTAATTTTAGTCCTTACGGATTTGAAACTGGGATTGTTTCGTTCAGACATAAGCTAATGTTAACGTCAATGTTCTTCATAGTACATCGCGCGTTGATGACAAGAACCCTTAGCATATGGCTGGATGACTGATGGTGGCCTTCAAAATACTGGGCAGGAAATTTTACCGCGTGACGCCAGGATCAGTGAAACTCGTTTCAGGCCACACACATTATACTGATACTTATGTGGACCAACGGTTCAGTCGAACATTCATTCATAGAACCTGTACGTCGGTTGGAGTTTCTCAAGAATGTGAGTTGCGGGACTGTCGACTGTCCACAGGCGGATCTGAGAGGAAGGACGCCACGCCCTTGTATTCATTCATTCATTCATATTCCTGTTGCTTGTTCTGGAGCATAGGGCAGCGGTCTTGCGACGGGCCAATCCCACGGCCAAAGAGTCCTGCCGGTTGCATTACATTAAGAAACTGAAGTGAAACGAAGCGTTTCACGGATGTCCTACGCTCCAAGTGGGGGCAACAAGAATAGAAGAAGAGGAAGACGATATATGAAATGAAAATACAATTACACTCTTCATTGCACGACAAAAATTTCAAGGATATTTACAACATCTGCAACAAGGAAAAGTCGAAAAATAATCCATACATTTACACAAATTTATGGGGTCTAACTAACCCATTAATACCGCCATAAAACTGCATATTTTGTACTTCTGAAGGAACACACTACCGTTTGTTTTCCTGTAAGGTTTGTGATAATACGAATATTATGTAGGACATTATATCCCCAAAAATGGGCAATGTTCAATATATCTGTTTAATGCATTACATGTATTGCTGCTTCTACAGTTTGTACAGTCACACACATCTGATGGGGCTTAATGCATGAAATGAAAAGACGATCATCAATACTTGACGACATTCTAGCACAGCAAACACTCGCCAATCCAGATTAATGGAGGGAGGTCATCCGGATTAATGAAGCAAAAGAGAGCCCTAAAATACAAAACAAAAACTTGGAAGACAAATAAATGGAAAATGTAATAATAAGATAGAGCTGATGCAAATAAAAAAAATTACAGCGGAAATTTCTTCGTCTGTCGAAAGCTGAAATCCGAGGTCTCCTTCATCCAGCTCAAGCCTCTCTTGGTTATTTCCTTGGGTAGTTTCACTCTCTCCGGCCGATCTCAACGGAGTCTGAAAGTCCTCTTACTCCCAAATACCATGTGTTTTTTTAAATATGTATTCAACTGCGAATAAAATTTGTAATTTCTCATAATTCGATCCATATTAACTGTAACCGGATTAGTGAGGATTTACTGTACTTAGAAAAATTACTACAATTACCTGTAACGTGCCCTCCTGTGGTAGGCAGAGGGATGTTGTCCAACTGCACAGGGCGATACTGCTGCTGACCAGGGTGTCGGGTATCCTTGGAAGCTGTTGTCTGCTTCACGTAGTCCTCTGATGCAGCCTGCACACACAACACATGATTCATTTTCAGAGCGAGTCGAACTGTCTAAAAGTAGGTTCTCAAAAGGGATGACAAGTTTTGAAGAAAGCAGTCTTCTGGGATTTGGCACCGTGTATATGTGGTGTTAACCGACGTTTCGGAGGAACGTATCGCTTCCATCTTCAGGGTAGAAGAAAAAATATATAAGAAATCTGCAAGCAAAGAGACCGTGAGAACCGGTAAAAGCAGACTGATTTAGCGATACGTTCCTCCGAAACGTCGGTTAACACCACATATACACGGTGCCAAATCCCAGAAGACTGCTTTCTTCAGAGTCACCGCCGTGAAAGCCTCAAATCTTACATGACAAGTTTTGTTAATACCGGAAGGATGGTGCCGGGTTTCTGCTCTGCCTTTAATGCATATTTTCCTAGTCTTCCTTCCAGCACACGACTCGTCTGAGTCGCTACTATATATGAGATTAATCCGAACGAATGTCTTATAATTTTAATGAAAATTAGAGGAGTAACCAGTAATCATCCATTCTGAAAGTGTCAGTGATCTTCCTAGTCTCTTATCATTCTCTATGAAAAGAAAATAAATGAAATATTTTGACTGCATAGATCACTGGCAGAACCCAGATAATAAGTCAACAACTACTGGGAGATACAATTCTTTATTGGTATCCGTCGTAACACAACAACGAAACGGTCTAGGTTAACATCACCTTAGCTACATGTTTCGGCTTTTGAAGCCGTCATCAGGCAAATAAATTATAAAATGATTATAACCAGTATTTAATCATATTTTATTGTATGACTTTCGTTTTATAATAATTTTATTGTATTTTTATACCGTGTATTATTATAGTGTAACACACTTGTCAAGTATCCAGCTCTACTGTCACACTGAAATGCAGTTCAATGGTGTGTGAGTGCAGTAACCATGTACTTGCCTGATGATGGCTTTAAAAGCCGAAACATGTTACTACGGTGATGTTGACCTAGACCGTTTCGTTGTTGTGTTACGACGGATCCCAACAAAGAACTGTATATATTAACACAACAGGATGCAGCCAATGAAAAATACTGGAAGAGTAAAAGACGTAGGTTTGAAAAAAAAAAACGATGTAATAAGATCTAAAAGTTTGTGACGATGGTACATTGGTGCAAATATTATGTTTTTGGACATTATCCGTCGTATTATCTCTATCTAAAAACCGTCCTGTTTATTTTTCAAAACACAACGTTTCGGAGAGTAGATTCTGTCTCCGTCTTCAGGCAAAACCTACTCAGTTGGGCCCAATCGACAGAGCTAGTCCCCATCTCCGTACCGGAGAGTAGGTTTTACCAGAAGACGGAGACACAATTCAGTCTCCGAAAAGTTGTGTTTTGGAAAATGAACAGGACTGTTTTTAGATAAAGAAAAGACGATGGATAAAGTAAAAAAAAAAAAAACATAATATTTGAACCGACGTAATCCGTAAATTCAGTTAGCCCGTATGTACTGTAAACATTATGGGTTCTATTCTGAATGGTTATCTTATTATTTTACGATGATTTGTCATCCGTCGAAGATATTTAGCGCCCAATCAGATATTATGGATAATTGTGACGACTGAAATGAAATGTGGGTGGAAAATACTGCTTCAGCATTTAAGTTTAAGAACTGTCATGATATATGGCCTCTGGCCGGGATTCGAACATGACTTCTCCACAGTGCATATTAAATGGGTCACTGTCAAGCCGTTTAGCTTGGCTTATAGAGTTAGCCTGGGGCCACAAAAGCGCACAAAATGCGTACGTTGTAACGAACGTCGTGACGTCCGTTGTAGAAATAAAGAAGATAGGCGAATGCTATGCTTTCTTCTGGCTCCACTGCAGACAAAAAACTACGCACTGCATTCTGCAACTGTGTGGTATCCTCAGCAACGTCCGTCATAAAGTACGTTCGTTGCAACGGACGTACTTCGTGCGCTCATGTTGCCCCAGACTTAATGTTACTGAATGACGCTTATATTTCCAACTTTAATTCTGAGAGGTTATGGGAAAATCTATACAGAAACAATACTGTTTCCGTCTGAAGACCGCCAAATTCCGATAAGAAGTATATATAACTCAGATCCATGGCTAACTGCTCTGTGAGAAGAGAACCAATGTATCCCCAATAATTATGAAGTATCCATCAGCCAAACCATTTCAAGGACAAAATCAAGGCCGCAACTTCATTCTGAAACTCGCGTTATTCAAGCCATTCCCTACCAAATGAATAAACGCTAAACGTTATTTAAGCCGTTAAGGTAGAAAGACTTGAATGACCCTTATTAGCAGCTAAATCAATAAACAATTCCTTGCAAAGAAACGCCTTTTAAAAGATGCGAGACGACCATGGAGATGAATGAACCCAAAGAGGATACAAGTGCCAAGAAAAATGTGATGTGTTACAGAATGAATGAACGCTGGCAAACAATCAATCACCCTAGACAATGTGCAGATTTCAAGCGACATAAAACAAAGACAGCAATTAACACCTCGAACCGCTGCCAACTTTGTCACATTTCTGTTTCAATAGAATAACTGAGATGTTATTTAAACCAGAACCGCACTCTTGGAACTTCAAGCCATCTACCGGCAACACGGAGAACATTCTTCCGGAAGTTCTCTACCCCAAAGGAAAGCGACTCTTTCTTCACTCATTCTCGCCGTGTTGACAGGCATTCGGGGTTGTCTGTTTGTCTTCAGGATTAAGAAGTGTAAACACTGGAGCAGTACATACAAGGTGTGTCCCAAAAGTCATGAAATATATTTCTTTCCCGTGCTCCTACTGGTCGGAGCGCGCTGGAACCGGTTGGGTTGGGGGGGGGGCTTTAGCTTCATAGCGCGCCCAAGGTCAGTCTGCTCGAGCACCGGAGGCGTCAGTATCGCTGATTTAGTGCACCTGTGTTTTGTGACCACGTCACGGCGCGCGATGGCGGATACTTTCGAACAACGTTGGGCGGTCAAGTTCTGCACAAAGCTCAACAAAAAAGCTGCCGAAACTCACGAACTGTTTAAGCATTTGAGTACGACCCAGAAACGAAGCACTAGAATGCTGAATGGCACACCTCGGCTTCCCCGAAACCGAAATAGGCGAAGACGAGCAAATCCAAAGTGAAAACAATGCTCATCGTCTTTTTCGACGCGAAGGGTGTGGTCCACAAAGAGTTGTTACCCCAAGGACAGACCGTCAACGCTCCCTACTACGTGGATGTCCTAGAAAGAATAAGGAAAAGGGTCATCCGCGTGCGAAAAGACATCGCCGCTAACTGGCGGCTCATCATGACAATGCGCCTAGCCACACGTCTCTGTTCGTCCGTGAGTTCCTGGCGATGCACCACGTGGCAACGCTGCCGCAGCCACCCTACAGCCCCGACCCAGCTCCGGCCGACTTCTTTTTGTTCCCCAGGATCAAGACTGCACTCAAAGGACGCCGTTTTGAAAGCATTCAGGCTATCCAAGCGGCCGTGACAACATCTTTCAATGAGGTTCCCGTCGAGGCCTTTGAGGGGGCGTACCGGGCATGGGAGAGTCGGTAGAAAAAATGTGTAGATGCTCATGGACAGTACTTTGAAGAATATTAACACTTTGTACCGATATCATCAATAAATTTATATATATATATATATATATTTCATGACTTTTGGGACACACCTTGTATAGTAGTGTTTATCAGCAAGTACTTAAGGTAGCACAGGACGAAGCATAAACAGCACGGCAATCGAGGGGCCCGTCCAGAGAGACGCAAAGAATAATGATTTCGGTAGCAGTATAAATATTCTGAACACGTGGCTCTGTATAATGTTTTCAGTCAAGTATGGAAGAAAACACTGAGACCAAGCGTCATTAGCTAATGTAAACCTCAAGGGAAGAGACCACTCTGGCGAGCTGGGTATAGAAAAAGAGGTTCATATAGAAGCTGACTGTGGGACTACTGTTGTGATATTTTGTAATTAACCTCGGGGTCCCGTAAAGGCGAAGGATTTCTAAACCTAGCACATAATAAAAAATCACGTTCAATGCGCCACAGAATGAGATACTTCAATAATTAGTTATTTAATTATTCAGTGAATACTAAAGTAGGTTAATTACATAGATGAAGTTGTACAGGGACACACACGGACTCACTCGTGGAGCTGAGCCCTTCTTGAGAAGCTGCCAAGTGTACAGCTACTCAAGACATTCCCAGCATTTTATGGAACCCGTAGGTTCATTACCATGTTCACAAGGGCAATCAACTGGGTCATATCCTGAGCCAGATTAATCCACTCCTTACCATCCCATCCTATCTCTAACATCCATTTTAATATTGTCCACCCACCCACGTCTACAGGTCCGAGGCTTCTTGTGATCTTTCGTAACAAGCTTATTTTTACGGTGAGGAGTTGTTAGCTCCACGCCCAACCCCAAAGCTGGACGACCAAACCCTGTCGGCTGTCCGAGACTGCTTATACAATATAATTCGCAGCTACTCTCCATAACTGGAGCGTGTCTCCTCCACCTACAACCTGAGGAAGCGTCATGCCTTGGTGACAAGGCACTCACCTAGCTAGACGGACAGCAATAATAAACTCAAGCATAGCTTATTTTCGTTTGCTTATGTCTTATTTAATGATGCATTCAAAAAATCAGATTATACAGCGCTGGAATATTGATGAATAATGAACTGAAAATGATATGAAAGGAAGCGGTCGTGGACGAACTTGACGTCCAATTCCTCAGTAGTTATCTGGAAGAAGCGAGCAAAGACCCCAAAGACTCTAAGTTAGGATAGCCAGTCTCGGGCCCAAACCTGTTACCTGGGGCCTCCTAAACATGAAGAAGTGCTAACCTCTACACCAAGAACTTCGGTTTCGCGTATTAAAGTTCCAAGATTTACGCATGAACTTAATTACGAAATAATAAGTTTACATTACACGATGTTTCCTATCTCTGCCCACATATCGATGTCATATTTCTGACAACCTGCTACAGATAAGCTTGTGT